ATTAATTATATCCCTGATATACCAATAACACAAAATAATTCCATTTTCTGTCCTTCACTATTAGGTAATTCTTTATTATTATTATTAATGTGGGATTTATTGTGTATATCTGTGTTTCTATCCCTGTAAGGTTTCTGTTTGCTAAAGTTATAAGTATTCATTGTAGACATTTTATAAAAATCAGACAAAGAAGACAATGAAAATCATCTTTAATCCTGTGATTAAAGCCACTACTAAAATTCTGCTGAATTCTGTCTAGTTTATTTCCATACTTATACCTAATTTTCTTATAACTTTTTGATGAATATATCATGAATATTTCTCATGTCATTAAAAATTATTATACAACGTTTTTTTTAAAATAACTGAATGTATTCCATTGTGGGGGGAACATAATTTTCTTTGCCAGTAAACCACTCTCCCCCTTTTTGAACATTCAAGTTCATTTATTCATTTGCGAAATATTTTTAAGTACCTGCTACATGCCAGAAACAGTTCCTTATGTAGAGAATATAGAGTAAACAAAACAATATGTACATGCCCTCTTAGAACTTGCATTCCAAGTTCCAAGAGGCATGAAGCAAGATAGATAGTAAAATGATAAATAAAATCAATTGGTCCCACCTAAGAGAGCTACTTACTTAGACTTTACAAGCTTCAACATTAATCTTCAGACCCTCTCCAAAGAGAGGTTCAGCTTACTTCCAAATCTCTGGGATTGTCTGGAGACCATAATGACTATTCCCACAGGATTCAGATCAAGGCTACATAGCTGCTATAGTGCCTGCCCCTTCCAAGTCTTTGCTGAAGGATGGCCCTTAGGCTGCCATTGCTCAATCACAATTTAGAAGGGGTTGGGGACATGGACCAAGAACAGCCTTTCCACAGCAGGCCAGGACTGACATGGGCTGACTCAAAAATGTGAGCTGAGCAAATAGATTCCCTTGCTTGGAAATTTGACCTAAGAACCGACAAAAGGAGGAGGCAATCAGCCGTTACAACTGAAGGTGAATGCTGATATGGAGAACATCTGATGCACTCACATTTGGCCATGTGTAAAATTAATTAACAAGGTTGCAGGAACCATAAACAATCAGCACTTTTGAGACAGAGAAGGAACATATATAGTCAGTAGTAGAAAAAAGAGAAACTAATACACATGAAAAGCATCTGCTGTGTTCATGCTAGAGCACTAAGGCAAGGTGAAGACTAGTAATTCTCATTTTTATGGACCTTAGAGCTGCCTTGGACTCAGAACACCCTCTAGGTCCTGTGATACCCAAATGTTCAGCTTTCTGGAGTCACCCACACCTGTTACTTGAGGTAATTTGAGTAAGTCTCTAGTTCTTAAACCAGAGGAACTCAACAAAAACAAGTCTATATACAGGAAGACAATTACATGTGTGAAGAACAGTACACAATAATACACAATTCAGTCTCACCCAACTTGGGAAACAGGTTTTACTTACGCTTTGGATTTGAGAATGATCTAACCAGGACTGAGATTTCCTTTCCTTTTAGATTCATTTTTTTATATTAGTCCATTTTGTGTTGCTATAACAGAATACCACAGACTGGGTAATTTGTAAAAAAAGTAATTTATTTCTCATAGTTCTGGAGTCTGGAAAGTCCAACAGCATGGTGTTGGCATCTTGTGAGGACCTTCTTGTTGACCTAATCACCTCTTAAAGGTCCCACCTCTCAGCACTGTGGTATTGGGGATTATTTCCAACACATTAACTTCGGGGGACACATTCAAACCATAGCATTGCTCTTTTGTACCGGGTCATTAGAAAAGTCAGTTTCTCTTTCTTAACAAACATATGTTAAATAAAAGATAGGTACAAGATATCATGTTTAGGCCCTGGGATAGTTTTGGAAAAAAAAGACATATTATCTACCACGAAAAGCAAACAACTTAACGGCAAACCTACAATTACAGTGCAGGATAATGAGTGCTTTGAAAGAGGTTGCAGAGGATGCTATGGAAACACAAGGAGGGGCTTCTATATCATAGCAGAGGTTTTCTGAGAAAGGTGACCCTTAAGCTAAAGTTTTAAAGGATGAATAAGAGTCACCTCTATTTAAAACTCTAGTTAAAGCTAGAGTTTTCTGATCATTTAGAAAAACATTAATTATCTTGGTTTTTTAAGTCCTACTACAGATTTGGAGTCATTTTCAATTTTGATACCTTGATTACAGGTCTACAATTTTTATAGCAGTTTTTGGTGATCCTTGATTACCAGAATTACTTCTCCATTTTTTTCCTCTGTAGTATTTCCCAACTTTGCCTGATTGCAATAATCATGCAAAACACATGATAAATACACAGAGCTCCAAAACACTCCCCTGTAGAGTCTGATGCATTAAGTCTGAATTTTTTTTTTTTTTTATCAAGTCACCCAGGTAGTAATCATTATCAGGCATGTTCAGTAATCACTTTTCTACTGTCTAAATTTGTTGTTGTTATCATTTATTTATTTTTCAGCAAAGCATTTTCTGTTATTAAAATGTTTTCCAATGCTAGTAAATAAGAAAAGAAACATAAAACTTCCCAATAGGAAAAAGAAGTTGTTTCCTTTCAGATGAATTTTATAGATAAGCACACACTACATATACAAGAAAATTATGTATATTTTAAAAACATTTCAATGTGGATTAATTTTTATTTGTGCAAGTCATTTTCTTGTGTGAATTTTGTTGTTTTATTTTAATTGTAATCCAGCCATGTTTTACTCCAAGTTTAAGATACTCTATCACATCCATGTTTGTTTCTTCTTTATTAAGAGAAATACAAATTAGATTTAGCTTTCAGGAATTTGGGTGGGAGAGTATGGCGGTTATGGTGGAAGGATGCTATATCAAGTTGAGAAACATAGAGACAAAAAGTATTTAATAAAATGCAGGCATAAAGGGATTAGCTATCGGTTCGTGGAATGTTTAATGGTTTGATAAAGGAAGTATAATATTGCTGTCCTGTCAGAGATTTGCTCCACTTGAATTCCAAGTAAGTGTGGTAAGAGCATGAATCTTGTGGCAAGCTACAACTCTTTTTTTGTATTAATAAGTAAAGCAAGGACTGACTTCATTACCAAGCATATTGAAGGAAGGCAAAGTATTCCACAGATAACAATTGTTAACTGAGCCAATTGTTAATGACTCAATATCTAGAATCTGTTTATTGAACAAGGATATAAGCAAAGATTCAGAACATCTTGTGATTAGACATAAGAACAACGAAGCAAGAAGGTGACATCTTTGTTCAGAGCATCTGGGAGATAAGATGGCTCCCACAAGAAGTACAATTCTGTCTAAAGCAGAACTGTTCCATTCATCACACTCTTTATGTATTACCACATCTTTCTAAGATAGGTGGAACTGGAAAATTGTTAAAATGGACAGTTTACTCTTACTAAGAAAATAATATTGATTTTTAATTAATGAAAAGAGAATATTTATCATAAAATGGGTGAAATTCTTATTAGAAATCCATTGTACATGAAAGACCTAATTTTGAATTTCTTTCATGTTAAATGAAACTCATTTGGTTTAGAAAGATCTGAAATATTACTACTAGCAGGAACTTCTTAAGACCCAAAGAAACTATTGGTTAAAAGAATAAAATAGACGATTATCCATTCACAGTCCTATTGCTGTATGATAAAAGGAAATGTAAAACATCAGAATTTAATAGATTATAGATTAAAGGGTTTTAAAATTATTTGTGAAAATGTTAATGTACTAAGAGTATTTTAACTGATTCTTCAGTTCATGCTCAGGCATTGGTTTAACTCTTTTTGCCTTTGTATTACCGGCCAAACCGAGAAAGAAGAGAAGAAAACCATCTGAAGGGACTCAGAAGATACTTCCATTTGTAAAGAATAGCTAAATTAGGAGAATCAGATTATTTCTGGTGTATAAATCAGAACTATTTATATTTTGGGGGCTTGAAGGTTGATAAACTTCCAACAAGCCAAATGCCATGATACTCCAAAGTATACTGGTTTTTGAAAACGTGCAGATTTTGCCCAAAGGTGAGTTACCCTTACTTCCATCTCATTTTCTAGGAGCTAAAAAATAGATATAGTTATTGAACACAGCTGATGATGAAAATACCTGCATTTTTATTTGCAGAACCTGTAAAATTAAGGTCAAAAAAGAGGTCATCAAATTTTATTCTGGTTATCTTACCCAATTTTTCTACTGGTAGAAATTTTTTCACATTTGGAGATAATTACATTTTTTCATCTTGAATATTGCTAATGCCAGGGGCAAACCCACACATCTCTTGATAAATAAATTTAGGTTTACTTTTTATGTTAGTGATTTTCGGAAGGGAAATAAAAATTTCTTTTCCTTATACAGTTTACTTCAGATAGTGCTTCTTTCTCTACACAACTTTATAATACTTGCATCAAGCAGAAGTATGTGCAAATGGTTCACCACGGAGCTGACACACAAGCATTAAGAAATAAAGGAGGAAGGGCAGCAGCCCATTAAACAGGGCTGCTCTGCCTCAGCCTGTGACCTAGTGAGACAATACTAAACATCAAGATAGGAAGTATGACTACATTTGCTTATCTAATTACTGTGCTATTACTCTTTAACTTTAATGGGGCAGGGGAGGGGGAGAATAACGGAGGTAATAGTCACCTAAATAAAAAAACTGGTCCACAGTGGAAATAGGAGAGTTTTACAGGTGAAAAATCTTATTCTTCATAAAAGCAAGAATCTCTGAATTCCGATCACTTTCCAATGCAGAGGAGGAACTGCTGGAGCACTTCCCTGGTTCTACCATAAGTTCCATATGTCACTGCTACTTGTAGAATTAGTTTGTCCCCATTTCCAGATGTGGTTCCATTTAGTTTTTAATACCGTTTTAGAGCTAGAACTTCATATTGATTTGGCCAGCTACTCAATCTCTAGCCTCTCTGTCAGCGTAATTTCACCCACCCTGTCATTTTTCATTATTTACTTGGTGAGTAACTCAAAGTACTTACTGGGTTGAGGACCACAGTGAAAAAAAGTTCACCTCCTCGGATACTCTTGTCCAGCTCTTTAGGGCCTCCTGGATATTCTTTGTAGAAAATTGTGTGAGTAAAAAGCCCACAGGTTTGTCTTGGAAGAACCTGAAGGAAAAACGAACAAGTAAGGAAAAAGTTCCTTTCAACCAATTAATTTGTTAAAACATAGCTTTTTTCTCATGAGAGATAATGCACAAGCTGGTCTCATCTTTCAACTAGGGCCTGGACAATCCCTCACACTCTGGGGAAGAATGATATGAGTACAGAAGGAATAATGAAGAAAGTTGAAGAAATATTTTAAAACTAAAATAGGCTTTGAATTATTTTAGCCACTTATCTGTTTTAAATCTCAAAGCCAGGACTTCTGTTAAGAACTCTAGAATATTCTAGCATCTAAGAAATAAGAAAAGTAGAAATAAGACTTTAGAAATATTGGAATTGTCTGTGCTACATTGTAATCCTAGTAGGCAAAAATTTTAAAAATAATACTTTCTGCCAAATTGTACACATGCATTAGAAAATGAAGTCAATTATCACCTTAATGTGCTTCTTACGAAATGACATTTTAAATTATAACAAATGTCTGAGACACAAGTTATAGTAACTGCTCTAGTCTGAAAGAACTACTGTAGGCTATAATAGCCTAAGTGTGAAGCCTGCCAGTTCCAAAAGTAAGAAATAAATTATCCATTTGGTTAGTAATTTTTAGAAAGCACTGCAAACAAAATGATAAAAGGTCACTTAGTAAAGGTCTTTTTATCCTATGTATGTGAAAGCCATTATCTGCTTCAATCACACACATTTGTGATAGGGACATTTTTCAAATTTTTACAGCTTTCCTGGTAAAATATCATCAGAGCAATTAGAAATGAAGTGTAGACTGAAGCTGTGCAAAATGGTACATACAGTCTTCAGCTAAATCTTATAAAATGATTTCATGATAACTTGTGTTTGTCCTATACACTTGAAGTGACAGAAAATTAATGAATATACTTTGGAGAGCTACAAGTTTTACAGAATTGTACACAGAAATATCTTCTGCTTATTGTCCTAAGAAAATTGATTCTCATTTTTTCTGTCTTGATTCTAAAGGCACATTTGGTTCAATAAGTGCTTTAAAAATATTACCTGTCAAGGACTTCTCATATTTTGCAAGCCTCTACAAATATATTAGTTCTTTTTGTTTAGTTTGAGTGTATACTATTATCAATTTTAATCCATTCTTTGGAAAGTTTTCTTAGAAAACAATTTTTAGCTCAATCAATGCATCATATGTTGCTATGTAAATCAAAACTGTATCCTACTTATTTTGGTAAACTGGTAAAAGTTACAGCCTTAGAGGCCATTTTATCTTTATGAAACAGTTAAAAGAACTTCAGTTAGCTAGAATTAGCTCTTATGATGTCAACGTTTAAAAGCATTATGCATTCTCATAAAGCAATGCACAAAATCAACAACAAAAAAGAACTACATGCAAAGGCATTCTGACAGAATTAAATACATTTTCTAACAATTCTTAGAAATGTCATTTTCTGGAAATTAAAGCTTTATATAGCATTTATTCATTTATTTAACAAATGCTTATTCTAAATTCTATACTAGTGGAACTATAGACTCTATGCTAATCCATAGCATAGAGTTAGTTCCATGCTAGCATGCTCAGTCTGTATGCTAGTTTGTGAAAGACCATGTGGGAGAACACAAAGATATATGTTTTCTTCTCTTGAAGGATTTAAGATATACCAAGATAAGGAGAAATACCCAAAAGCCAAATAATGAAATGCCCCACATGATTAAATGCCAACGTAGTGTTATGTTTTAAGTGTGTGACTGACTGAATCGCTTTTAGGATTCAGTTTGGATATTATTGCTTGAAAAATTTATTAAATACATACAGAGCTGTCCTGGGGACTTGATTGTCCAGCTGCTTCTATACAAAATGGAGAGAGAAGTGAAAAGAAATTTGAGTTTCGTCTATTTCTCAAATTATTTGAGTGTGAACACAGTGAAAAGTGCCAGGCTTTACTCTGCAACTCTGGGGAGGACTCCTGCTGAGGATGAGCCTCACCATGAGCCCTAGGAGAGTCAGTGGACCACTGCGGAAGGCTAAGGAGATAACCAGGAATGTGATAAGGATAATAATGTTCACTGCCTTGCTCCTTGAATGCCATACTACAGGATGCCAAATGTGTTCCTTAAAATAGCTCTCTTGTGCTAGAGAAGGAATGAAAGACTTTTTTTAGGCATTCTTCTGTGGACTTCCCTCTAGACCTCGTCTGGGAGTGTTAACACTATCGAATTCAAACTTTGAGACACTGAGCCTCTGGTAGATTCTGACAATACCTGGGAGATGGTTATGAAAACCGTGATTAACAAGAATCCTGGCCAATGGGACCTGAAGCCAATATCCTGTATTAAGGTCTCAACCAGGAGCAACTGACAATAGATACTCTAGGAGCTACCAGTAAAGACCACCTGGGGGCTGTCAGCAGGATTAATGGTAGTCTCTACCAATGGGCATCTCCATTAGAAACAGTAAGTAGTTAGTCTGACTGTGTAGTCTCTCCAGACAATCACATTTCACAATCAGGGGTAAAGTAAAGGGTCCATCAGGATAAATGAGGATAAAAATTGCCCAGCTGAAAATGCAATAAGACTGGAGATCTAGAGACTGATCAGGGCTCAAACACCTTGAAATGTAATTGGGTTTTATGTTCCTAAAGGAATTACAAGATGACATGTTATAGGAATTCAGAGGAGAATAAAATCACTGTAGTCCTGAGTTAGCTACTGAACTGCTATATACCAAGGTGCTTTACATTCAGTTGTATAAAATATGGGACTTGATATTGAAGAACAAAGGGAGTAGAAATAGGTAGAGAGTGGCCAGAAAGTCATTCAAGGTGGAAAGCATGACAAAGGCATGGAAACAGTGCAGCTGTAGGCCTTTTTGGTTGGAATGAGTCTGTGTAAGCTAGAGAGAAATAGAAGATAGACAGATAAGAAATATAAGATAGACCAGATTGTTTTCAGGTCCCTGAAGAACACATTAAGGGGTACAGAAACAATTGGAACTCATCAAGTTTAGCAAGGCCAGAATGAAGATGACGATATTTTAGAAAGATTAAAAGGCTGGCATTGTCTATGGGATAGACTGCAGTGGGGTGTGGATGGCAGCTGTAATAGACAAAGTAGGAACCAGTAACACGATTAACACAAAAATCAAGGCAGTGAATTAAGATGGTGGCTGTGAGAAAGGAAATTAAATGATATTATAAAGGAATTACTGATGGAATGTAAGACTGATTGAAAGTGGGGGAGTCAGTGTGATATTCAAATTACAGAACTGAATTGGGGATAGCACAATCAACAGCTGGTTTGAAGGGAATATAAAGAAGTCTTTTGAGTTTGATTTGTGAACAGATCATCCAAAAAAAAAAAAAGTTTCCCTTATCTCATACAACAAAATATGGGTGTTATCTAAAGTTTATTCCTTAGTTCCCTGCTCCTTTTTTTTGCAGGCTCTCCCGAGGAGGGAATATTGGCTCTTTTGATCTCAACTCCTAGCTCTGTCTTGTCTCTCTCCTACTGCACAATCAACTGCCTGAACGTTTTCCACTTGGACATTCTCATCCAAGAGCCTACAAGTTAAATGTAGAGGGTTTCCATGGAGGGTTACAAAAGTAGAACCACAGGGAGAATTCAATCAAAACAGAAAATCTGTTAAGCCTTTGTTACCCGCAAGATCCATGCATTCATAATACAGGTAATAAAACATTTTCAGGAGAAATGAAAAATAAACATCTCATGCGACATATCCAAGCAAGATTTATGGCAGTACAGAGAGAAACAGAAACAAAAGAACAACATTGAATAAAGTCTTTAGAGACTTAAGTTCACTGTTCTACTAAGACAGTCTCTGATTTTTAAAATGACAGGAGAGCAGTGAATGCTTTTAAATTATAATATAACCAGGTCTCCTGAACTCTCTTTGGTCATAAGGCTGGCAGCTTAAGGCACAATTTATTTTCATTACAGAGGAAGGGCAGACTGGGATAAAATGTGGCCATTGTTTCCTCATTTAGCATTTACAACAGTTTTTTTTATTGAGGGAGAAGTCAAGATGGGAGTTGATCCAAGTTAAATGTTATTATCTACTCTGTAATTTTTGCAGACATTGGAAAACTGTCTGAAAAGAAGTCAGTTATACTTAATTCTAGAAGGTAGTTTCTTCAGACATGTCATTTGACACAGTGCTAATGGTGGCTCATCAGAGAGTATTCCTCTTCACAGTGTTCCTTCCCAGTATGAGTCTAAATGAGGAGGCTTCTTAGCTTCACCAGGACATTCCTTGGATTTTCAGATTTGGAAAAACATTAAAATTTAATTACTTACTTTGGGAGGTCTCACAAAGTATTAGGCAGTAACATATTTTGACAATATACATTTGCCACTGTGTAAAAAATAAAACAGAGAAGCCCTGGAGAGATTTAGACAATGGATATAAATTATTTAATTAAGATCATCTGTCATTTGTACTCTATATTATCATCTGTTACTGATTATGCAGAACTTCACATGTGGCTTCTGTGGCAAATGGTTGAATTTTTAGCCTGGCATGGTAAAGAGAAGAACACAGTTTGGCTTGTAAAAGGGCAGAAGTTAATATAAAGAGATTTGGTTTTAGTTTTACATATTAAATAACTTTTTGAAGAAATGATGGCTTCTAAAAATGATCTTCAAGTTAAATGAATTTTTTTTTAGTATTTTAATATCAGTGACTTCTTAGCAGTAGTGTCAGTAAAAAAAATTTTTTTTTTAAATTATACTTAAAGGATTGAAAAGAAGTGACTTTAATTAAAACATCCTTTGATTAGAAATGACAAATAACTTTCTGCATCATGGAGCTTTTCCTACAGTTATGCTCTTAACATTTTGCTCTTCTCTTTTGTCCCTTCTTCAAGTGAGGCTTGTGAATCTGACAGAATTAGTTCTACCCCATGTATACCAGAGGATGCTCACCATGATGTTTTT